AGAAGGTGTGGATATCTCTCAGCTTGAGAAATGCAAAGGGTGGAGAAAATGGATCTGCAGACAGATACACAGACACAGACACAGACACAGACACAGACACAGACACAGACACACACACACACACACACACACACACACACACACAAAGCCATTTTCTCCACCCTTTGCAATTTCTCAAGCTGAGAGAAATCCCCTTGTGTGTGTGTGTATGTTCCAGCTCCTACAAGCATAGGGGATAACTCTGCATATGCTCCTGGACCTGGAAACACACTCTGCACATGCCCCAGGTTGGGGGTGGTGATCCATCAGTGGTCCCGACTCCCAGAAATCTTGTCTAGCACAACTAGGGGTGAAGGTTTCCGGTGTTTTTTTAGCATAATAACACATGGGGGGCCAAGTTTGAGAACCACTGCTTTAGATGGTAGGTCACAGCATGCTTTGAGACAAAAGTTTTTGAATTTATTCTGTACCTCCGTTCTCGAAGATCTTGCATTCAAATAATATGTTGAAAGGATCATCAAGGGTCGCCATTTTAATGGGCTGTGTTTGTATATTCTCAGGTTGCTGTAAATTATGATACTATAGTTTGGGGGGGAAATGTACCATTGAATTAGGAATAATAGCAAAAATGGCATGTTCTGTCTTAATTGGTTTTCTTTTGCTTTTAATCTTAATAATCAGAGATCGCTGTAACAGATCAATGAGTGAAGCAAATTCATTTGCCAGTGTGGGTTTTGAAATCACTCGGTGAGCAGTGTGGCAGGAGACATTTAAGTAGCTTAGAGATATGTTATTTTCTTCCTTTTTGTGTGTGTGTGACTGACATTTCTTTGCTTGAACCTCTATCACTGTGTGGGCGGTTGTGTAGGGGAACCTTTTTTGTAGGTGCTTTTTCTTGTAGTCCAAAGCAGCATTAATAAACATTTAAGAGAACAAGAGGGGGACATATTGACATTGGTTTTGTTACTGAGAAAAAGAGACAACCCTATATCCTCCCCCCCAATTTTCAATGGCCCTGCAAAGAGTGTAGATACCAAAACAGTGTTGGAGGAGTCCAAACTACTCCTCCCACATTATGTTATTGTTTTATTTCTAGACCCTGTCAGCACAGATAACAAGAAATTTTATGCAGGTGGGAGAGGAGAGTTCTTCATAGCCAGCATAGAACCAAAGCAGGCTGTGAGGCTTGGGCAGGAATCATCATTCTTGAACACAAAGGAGCAGTGACTGAGCTCTGGCAGGAGGGACCTGATACTTCCATCACCCCTCTAGTATTTCCTTTCCTGTTTCTTTTTTCAAAGCAGGCAAGTACCTTTTGCATGCATGGTACCTTGAGCGTATTACAATACATTTTCTCTCTTTCATTGAAAGCAGGTGCAGCGGTTCAGCTGCAAACTTCATATGGAGAATGGTCTAAGGAAAAGGGCTATCAGAAAGCAATAAAAATGACCAAGGAATTCTACTTGTTCTTCGAGGACAGAAGCAGTAGGGTCTTTTTGCTTTCGAAAAGAATTTCATAACATCTACTTTCTTATCAACATCATGCACAAAGAGAGTTCTAAACACTTTCAAAAATAACTACCAGTCTAGGTTTACCATTTGTTATGTGCAGTTGAGACGTTTCTGATGTGGGACAATCCTTATAGAGTTTTTGAGATAGGTGAGCTATTCCAAGAGCGGTTTGCCATTGCTAACCTCAGTGGGTTTCTGTGGCTGAGTGACATTTTGAATCCAGGTCTCCCAAGTCCTTTTCCTATGCCATTTTCAATACATCGCGCTGGCTCTCAAGGTCTTATGTATTAAAACAAAGAAGAGTCATAGCCATGTGCTTCATGAACAATGTCCACAATCAGAGCTGGGCAATCCCTTTGCTGGACCCATTGGAACACTCAGTGCAGTATCATTACAGACAGAACATTTCAAGGCTTTCAGGACTTTTCATCAAGGTGAACATTGCAGAGCCTAACCAAAGTGGAAAGAGAGAAGTCAAAAAAAACCATCCTGCTTTAATGTTGAACCCTCACAATCTATAGTTCAAATGAACTCCCAAAACAGAGTCTGCAACCATGACATTCTCTAGTCTATATGCTTGTCAGATCATGGATTTTTGTCGTCTCTTAGTCCAGTGGTAAAGAAGAGAATCATATTGAAAAGGTAGATTAGAGGCCACTCCCTTCATAGGCTAGCAGTGATGGCTAACCTTTTTGAGCCTGAGTGCCCAAACTGGGGGAAAAAAAACACAAAACACCAGCGGGCTGCGGTGGAAGTGAGGGTGGAAGGGGGGATCCCGGGCACAGATGTGCCTCCAGATCCCTCTCTGGATCTGCATCCAATCATACCCAACCCTGCCAGTGCCAGCTGCTCCGAATCCTGACCTGCCACGTGTTGGGGGTCTAGCACCATGGTTGCAGCTGCCTCCTCAGGTTTGGCTGCTGGGGTAGCAATCCGACGACTTATGGCCCATGTGCCCACAGAGAGGGCTCTGCGTGCCCTGTGACATAGGTTCACCATCGCTGGATGGACTAGGGGATATGAATAAATCATTGGCCAAAGCACTAGGTGAAGGTTTTGCATAAGCTGGGACTTTTTTTTAAGCAACTCACAGAAGCCTCCAACCAGAATGGCCAGTTATAATTCTCCAAAAGTAACTTTTCCAAGTTCTAGCTTCCAGAATGCCACTTGTCGCTTAATCCAGAAACCTAATTTTGCTCCCCTTCATTTTTCTTTTCCACATAGTGAAGTAAGAAGAGAAATGGAACTAAACACACCCACCCTATCACTCCTTCTGCCTTCGGGAATCAGCCAGTGCCTAAAAACTCTGGCTGCCAGGAGCTGCCTTTTGACTACACCTTGCTCTGGCGGGCAGGCGTGAGCTCAGTCCTGGGGTCGGAAGTGCATTATGGTATCACCACAACACTGTATATGTAACTAGACAAGTATTAGATTGAAAAATTTGCAGTATGTCATATAGGTATGTTGTTGTTATTGATGTGATCAAATACTATGTTTCCTTAATACCTTCCCAAAAGAATTGTGAAGTCTGAAGCAGAGTTGATATTTAAAATGCAGAATTTTTAAAACCTGAAAAATACTAAATTTTATTTTGGCATCCAAGATCCAAACCAAGATTGCAGGAACAGGTTAAACCAAAAGCTGGTTAGGATGAAGTTTTTTCCTAAATAAAGTAAACCTCCCAGGATGATATGTAATTACACAACGCATGGTTGTATAAGTAGGTATTTGGTACAAAAAAAAGGTCTCCCCTTCTATATCTTTATAAAAATGTTTCCATAGTTCTCCTGGGTGTGATTATGAGCTGCGGAGGCATGCTTTGAAATGAAGGTCATGCTTCATAGACACAATGGAGAAACTGGAGGGAGAATGAGCACAAGATCTAAGGCGTAATAAAAAAAATAATAATCCAAGAATCACAAGAATAAAGATACTTCGTCCCATGCTCTCAATTTCCAATCCACCGCAAAGCATCTATTCAGTTTTCTACAGTGGGTTCCCACTCTGTCTCTTCCTGAAAAGCTTCAATTTCTTTTCAGAGTAATTGGTGCAAATGTCTTCCACCCTGTGTTTTCAGCTAGTTCAATGCCAGAAAGGGGTGGGAAAGGGTACAGATGCCCTAATGATATTTGTAAGTCCAATTTCCTTTTAGTTCTAACAAATACTGCCCCCCCCTGAAAACAGAAGACAAAAGGGACTGAATAAGACACAAGGATGTTATGAGAGCTCTACCTCTACCTTGGGAATCATGTTTCTTCTCAGGATCTTCTAGGCCGTAATTATTCAAATCAGGGTGCATAACCTTTTGGACCACAGGATGTTGTCCAGTTCTGTTTTGTTGTTTGATGTTCTTTGTTTAGTTTGTATTGTTTTATAGACTGTATATTGATTTAACATGGGTGGTTACCTCAAGAGTCTAAAACATGCAGTGCAGATATTTAAATATACTTGTTCCTTGATTGATAGATAGATTGATAGATAGATTGATTGATTGCCCATCTAGCCCAAGGCCACTTCCATGAAAGATGCCATCATGCATCTATCTGCTCTTCACTGGGTAGGGACTGTTCTGTTTGTGGTGGATTGGCTGATGGGTGAACCAATAGGAATTCAAGCTAGATCTGCCATTTTCTTATGTAGGTTGTCCAGGAAACATAATAAGAAAGTGCTAAAATGTCGGATCCATCACAGTTCTTGACTGTTCCCACCACATCTGAAGCCCAGTCTCCGGTAAAAGGATCAATACGTCAGTGGAGTGGTTGCTATGGGAAACAAGATCATGTCTTTGGGTTGAGGACATTGGTTCCCATATGTGTTTTGAGTATAGCTCCTGTACAGTTGACTGTGCAGTCTGAAGCATGCTTTTGTGAAAATTCTTATGTTCTTTTAAACTGTCCCAGCCTCACTCTGTAGATCTTTAGGTTGTCTCTCCTCTATTTTTGTGTTGTATCCTACTGCCATCTTGTGCCCATTGACTCTCTCTTTGGTCCTGCATCTCTTTGTTTATCTGCCTACCACTGATTGTGTCAAAGACCTTGTTGACACGTGGTGAAGTTCTGATAATGCTCCAGATGTCTGGGTTATTTTCTTCTCTTGTTAATTATATGACTTAAAGAAATGTTTACTTTTGGGGAGGGCAAAGGAACTCTTTTTAAACTTCTCCTCCTTCCTTTAATGGTTCTACATCTGCTAAGCATTCTAAAACTGGCAATTGTTACTTGGAGACATAAGGAATGAATGGACATTCTAAAAGAGGAAGTGGCTTGGCCTCGTATTCCATAGTGTTGTCCTTCTTATCATATGCCTTTATGGACGTCACATTCAGGCACAGATATAATGTGCCAACCACTCTGCCTACATGGCTATCATGTGTAAACCACTGTACACACATATACAATGATGTACAGTATGTGTTTAGTGGTATCTCCCACATTATGATTTAGAACCTGGTCCTTCTTATCATATGCCTTTATGGACGTTACATTCAGGCACAGATATAATGTGCAAACCACTCTGCCTATACGGCTATCATGTGTAACCCACTGTACACACATATACAATGATGTATGTGTTTAGTGGTTCCTTTCACATTATGATTTAGGACCTAGGCACTTTCCTGGAGGATCAGGTTCAGAGTTAGGTAAATATGTATTCTCATTTGTAGAGGAAGAGTATACGTATTCAGAACCAAATGTCCACAGGTTAAAATGGCAGGTTGTCTCATGTTATGAGCTAACATTTGGACTATTTATTTATTTAAAAGACTTAACCCTCCTTCCTGGAGATACTGCCTTCACAAGTTAGCTTATGAAGTGGCTTGCAAAATATTAAAATAGAATTACAGTTTTAGAAACACTATGTTGCTGCCGATGGTGTTTTAAATGCAAACAGAAATAAGGCTGTCTAAAGGCGCCTTGTAGCGTTATAACTGCTATCCTAAGGAGCTCAGAGTTGCTCGCCACTGATGGCAGTTAATTAAACAAACAAACAAATAAACAAACAAACAAATCCAGAAACTCTAAGGGGGGGTTCAGACCTGCAGTTCAGGATTTTGAAATGACCATTGGACAGTCTTATCCTGGTTTTAATTCTGATTCGTATTGTGATTCTTATTTTTTTTAAAACTCTTTATTTAAATGGCACGTTCTGAAGTGTATTTCTCTTGAAGTTGTCATCTCTTTAAAGATGAAACTCTGTACTTAACCTGGCCACAAGCCTCATTGATTAAGTGAGACTTAACTACTGAGTAGAGCATGTGTCGGGTGGTAAAGTGACTTGCTCTGCAAGCTGTGGGGAAGTTGAAATGTAACTGATATGTTGTGGACTCTGTCCAAAGTTTACAGACATGGAGTTCTATTAACCGGAATCTTTACAGTCCCCCCAAATTTTGCATTGTTTATGTACAAGATGGTAGCCAAAGAGTTCCGTTCCTCATTGTATATGCTTTGTATGCTTGTCACTTGACCAGAAAGGATTAATATATGTTTTTGAAAATTAATTTACAGGATCCTGCCAACCAAAAATGTGGGCGCAAGAAAACAGTCTCCTTCAGCAGCACACCATCAGAGAAGAAGATAAGTAGCGCAAGCGACTGCATCAGCTTCATGCAGGCTGGGTGTGAGCTGAAGAAAGTCCGACCAAATTCCCGTATTTATAATCGTTTTTTTACTCTTGACCCTGATTTGCAAGCACTTCGGTGGGAACCATCTAAAAAAGATCCTGACAAGGCTAAACTTGATGTTTCTGCTGTAAAAGAGATTCGATTAGGGAAGAACACTGAAACATTTAGGAACAATGGTCTGGCAGATCAGATTTCTGAAGATTGTGCCTTCTCTATAATTCATGGAGAGAATTATGACTCCCTGGACTTAGTTGCCAACTCAGCAGATGTGGCCAACATTTGGGTGTCAGGTTTGAGGTACCTGGTTTCTCGTAGCAAACAGTGTCTGGATTTAATGGAAAGTAGCCAGAATACTCCACGGTTTGCATGGCTTACATCTGTGTTTGAAGCTGCAGATGTTGACGGTAATGGGATCATGTTAGAAGACACGGCTGTAGAATTAATAAAGCAGCTGAACCCAGCCTTAAAGGAGTCAAAGATTAGGTTAAAGTTTAAGGAAATCCAGAAGAGCAAAGAGAAACTGACAACTCGTGTGACAAAAGAGGAATTTTGTGAAGCATACACAGAGCTTTGCACGAGGCCTGAGGTTTATTTTTTGCTGGTGCAGATATCGAAAAACAAAGAATACTTGGATGCCAATGATTTGATGCTTTTTTTAGAAGCTGAGCAAGGGGTTACACAGATAACTGAAGAAATGTGTCTTGATATCATTCGGAGATATGAATTTTCAGAAGAGGGGCAGTTGAAGGGTTTCCTTGCAATTGATGGGTTTACTCGGTATCTGTTGTCCCCAGAATGTGACATTTTTGACCCTGCACATAAAAAAGTTGTTCAAGACATGACCCAGCCATTATCACATTACTATATCAATTCCTCCCACAATACTTACCTAATAGAGGATCAGATCCGAGGGCCAGCAGATATCAATGGTTATGTCAGGGCACTGAAGATGAGCTGTAGAAGCATTGAACTGGACGTTTGTGATGGTCCAGATAAGGAGCCCGTAGTCTGTAACCGTAACAACATGGCATCCTTTCTGTCATTTCAATGCGTCATTGAGGTGATCAACAAACTAGCCTTCATTTCTTCAGAATATCCTCTTATTCTCTGCTTGGGAAACCACTGCTCTATTCAGCAACAGAAAGTCATGGTAAAACAGTTGAAGAAGACTTTTGGCAGCAAGCTTTACACTGAGGTGCCACTACCATCAGAAGCTTACTTGCCTTCTCCAGAGAAACTGAAAAAAAAGATCATTATTAAAGGGAAGAAGCTGCCTTCCGGCGAGGATTTGTTAGAGGGGGAAGTCACAGATGAAGACGAAGAAGCTGAAATTTCTCGTAGATTGTCTGAAGAGTGTTTGGGGGCCCCCAAGAGGTCCTGGCTGTGCAAGGAGCTGTCTGACCTCGTCTCTATATGCAAGTCTGTCCAATTCACAGATTTTGAGAGTGCAATGAAGAACCAGAATTATTGGGAGATCTGTTCCTTCAGTGAAGCTGAGGCCAGCAGGATTGCAAATGAGTGTCCTGAGGATTTTGTAAATTATAACAAGAAATTTCTATCTCGAATCTATCCTAGTGCCATGAGAATAGATTCCAGTAACTTGAATCCACAAGATTTTTGGAACTGTGGCTGCCAGATAGTGGCAATGAATTATCAAACGCCGGGACCCATGATGGATTTACACACGGGGTGGTTTTTACAAAATGGGGGGTGCGGTTATGTCCTTAGGCCTTCTGTTATGCGAGAAGAGGTCTCTTACTTCAGTGCAAATACAAAAGGCATAGTCCCAGGGGTTTCTCCTCAAGTCTTACATGTCAAAATCATCAGTGGTCAAAACTTCCCAAAGCCTAAAGGAGCCTGCGCCAAGGGTGACGTCATAGATCCTTATGTGTGTCTAGAAATCCACGGCATCCCTGCAGACTGTACAGAACAGAGAACTAAAACTGTTCAACAGAACAGTGACAACCCCATTTTTGACGAGAGCTTTGAGTTCGAGATCAACCTGCCGGAGCTGGCCATGATCCGCTTTGTCGTGTTGGACGACGATTATATTGGTGATGAGTTCATCGGGCAATGCGCCATCCCTTTGGAATGTTTACAGCCGGGCTATCGGCATATCCCTCTGCGCTCCTTTGTTGGAGACATCATGGAACATGTTACCCTGTTTGTGCACATTGCTATCACTAACCGAAGCGGTGGTGGGAAACCCCAGAAGCGCAGCCTGACCGCAAGGATAGGAATGAAAACAAGAGACTATACTATGCTGAGGAACACAAATCTCAAGATTATAGATGACATCTTCAAATTAGCGGTCCATCCATTAAGAGAGGCCACGGACATGAGAGAGAACATGCAGGTAACAAATTATTTTATTCTGGTTGTTTTCTTCTCAGCTTTTATATTTGAGATTTTGATTTAGCAAGCTTGTTACATTCAAGCTAGTAATGGTGTTGATAATTTGGGGGCTTTAGATTGAATACCAAATGGTGCAACAGCTTGTTAGCAAAGAATAGGGCGGTTCCCATTGTTGGATGTACTTTGCCAAATCCTAGGTCTCAAGTGCCAAAGAGCTGAGCCCAATGTTAAGATGATCTTTTGCTTCCCTTGTCATTGGGAGTTCTTAGTTTCCATCACACTCTCCTTGTTCTTTCAGATTTCTTCCCAACAGTGGACTAGTACATGCACTGTTCAGAAAGGATGGTTCTCAGCAGGTGAGGGGGGCAATGAGGCTCATGTATGGTCCACACAGCATGTACATCATCATGCGTGACTCGTACTATGAATTCATATGCCACATGCTCCCAATATTCTCCTCCCCACCACCTTCCCAGCATTCCAGGATAAGGGATCGTGGGAATCAGGTGCAAATACATACAAATGAATGTTTGTATGCATTGAATGGCATCTGAATTTGAATATATGGTCTCTGTAGAGTAGGGCTGTCTATGTATTGCATAGTCCTGATGAGCCAGCTCAATATTAAATATGTTGATTGGACTCCTTCACAAGAAGAAAACCTCACACACCACCTTTTATGTTGCATGAGAAAAAATGTTAGCACATTGACCAACGTGCCTGTTTATATAATACTGTACTTTATTAAGTTTCTACAGACTCGTAAAATAGTCATTTAGGCTGCAGTCTGAGACACTCCTTGGTAGGAATAAATCCCACCAACGTAATGTGGCTGATGGCTGTAGGTAGGCTCCCACTGTTAAAGCCTCAACAGTGATCTGAGGGCTTTTTGAATCATTGTGGTTAGAAAAGAGTGGCAGGGGAGAAAAGTGCAGATTGGAAGGAAAAAAGGATGGGCTGGTTTGCATTAATCTGTACATTGTGTGATCATTGAAAAATACTTTTGAGTTCATCCATGCCAATTCCATAGCAAAGTATTTTTCAATGTAATCACACATTTAATCTAGCACTCTGACCACTACACTGTACTGAAAGTGCGTATAGGACACACACACACCCAAAAAGTCATCTCAAGGTATCTTTTAGTGATTTCCAGTGCCAGGTTAAATTTATACAAGGAAACACAGTGCTTCATGAAACTCTCATTTCATTTTAATGGTATCCCTTTGGAGGTTTACATCCGTGATGGTTTAAAGACAAAGAATTAAGCCACAAGGTGTCGGTAATGGAAGGTGTCACACATAAACTCACATTTTCTCTTTCAAGAGAAAGTGTGAGTTTATGTATCACACCTTCCATTATTGACAATCATTTTGTCTTCCCCAAGTGAGAAAATAATCAAAAGCTTACGATTTCAGCATCTTAAAGATTTTAATTAACACATAAACCATGGAATTGCAAGATGTCCATTTACATAGAAGAACTCTAATGATGTTAGCAGGAAGCTGGAGCCGATTTTAATAATGTCCCATGTCGGCGTTTTTCTAACTTCCTATCAGGAAATAATTGTCTATTAAGCTTGTAAGAAGAAAGGCTACTCTGTCTTAGAAATAAATGTCAATATTGCCAAATGATGGAGGGTTGCTTCTTCCACTTTTTAAGACAATAATCCGTTTCACACAGATGTCCCCTTCCTTTTCTGCCCTACTTGGATTGTGATTGAACGCAGGTTCAGCACGCGTCAGTATCACTCAGGATGGTTACAATCCAAGTGACCTCCACAGTACCAGTGTCTGCCAAGGATTTTGTCAAAACTGGTAACTGCTGAACTTGTTGTGATAAGCAACAAAATGCAGTGTGGCAACTGAAGAGATTTAGATCAGTAGTTCTCTGCCCTTGGGTACCCAAGTAACTTTAAACCTCAGAAGCACTTTCCACCTCTCCACAGCATGACCAGTGGTCAAGGAATCTGGGAACTGGAACCCAAAGCTTCTGTAGGATCAAAGCTGAAGAACTACAGATTTAGATAGCACATGACACTCATAAATGGACAATGATTCAGTTAAGAATTCCTCTATTTTTCTGGATGCCGTGAATGTTGGTGTATCAGTTGCGGCCAGTCAGCTGCAAGAAAATTTGCCTTTGCGTCTCCGGGCAGAGAGCAAAAGTAGTGGGTTTCCCTGAGCTCCTTGTGGACTGCTTTTGCGATTGTTTGGTCTCTGTTCAGCTTGGTGAGTGACAAGGAGAAAACAAAATATTTCTCAAATTACCAGATATTGGTCATAATTATGTCACATTTGTTTAAATTTTGAATCATCCCTCCCTCCATCCTACTGCTAAATATAGTCACTGAAGTAGAAAAGCTGCTTCCCTATGTAGGGCGTCTTGTGCTATCAATCCAAACCTTTTCCTAGAGCCTGAGAAAGTTACTCTTTTTTCATTGCTGCTTCCAGAATCTCCCAAATATAGCCACTGGCCAAGATGGTTGAGATATTCTGGGAGCTGTAATTCAAAAAGTAACTTTTCAAACTCTGGCTATTTCATTTAATTCATTTCATTTATGTAGTAGTGGAAAACCTAGGGCTGCAGGTGGGATATAACAGCACTTAGGCCCCTGTAAAATCCTAGGTTTGAGATGGGTGGGTTGTACAGCAGTATCCTTGTCTGATAGCACTCTCAGAGGCAGGAGGATCTGGTGTTTCTCCAGACTGATGCCACAGTGCTCATGCAGGCTCAACAACATGGCTGGATAAGACATTTATTTATTGTGCCTCAACGTCTATCATTCGAAGACATGCAGTACATGAAACTACACTTGCCACTTAGTTGTTGAGTGTGCCTTTGTGCAGCTAGAGTAGGATGAATACCTCAGCTCTGGTTTATTCTTGGGTCATATGTTACTGTTGATTATGTGAGCATATGAGAACTCTGAATTTGTATGGTTGGCTGTCATATCTTTAGAGCTGTTACAATTTGCAAGAATTCACAACACTATAGAGGTTTGCTTCCCTGTGTACGTATAGCAGAGGTGAGTAATGCATGGCCCTTCTGCTTTTTTGGAGCCTTAACTACCTAAATCCCTCACCATTGCCTTTCCTGGCTGGAGGCGATGGGAGTTGTAAATCCAGGAACATTGGGAGGCTTCCACGCCTTTGACGGAGAGCCATAGGACTGACTAGATAAGAAGCAGCTTGCCCACAGATAGCTCATATTAAGGAATAAGTACTACCCTTATGTGTCTGATCCAGAATTATTGCTGTCTTCATGCATGTACATAAGGAGTCATAGGGAGAGCTTGGCTATAAATGTGAAGAGTAGGGCGAGAGACTAGGTTTTATTTTCTTCTTTCCTAAGTCCAGCTATTTTTCTTGGTGGAGCCAAGGTACCAATGGGTAAGCTACTTCTGGTGTAGTCAGTTTCATCCAGAAGTCTGGAGGGAAGCAAGGGATAGAGCATGAAAATATGTGTGCTCAGTTTTTACCATTTTAAAACATTAGCCAAAGCATTCGCAGGGAACTTTTCCCATCGAGATTTTGTAATGGAAACATATGCCAATTCTTTTGGCCAGTTAATCAGGAAACGTTGTTCATGTCATTTAGCAGAAAGCTGGAAAATAAAATGTGGAGGTCCCTCCCTAACCCCGGATTGCTGGTTTCAAGCAAGGGAGTAAAACAGCAAGATATCATTTAAATTTCAAGGGCATTCTTTTTATTTTGAGGTATCAGTGTGCTGACAGTGGCCAAAATCCTGCTGGCTTGAAGTTGTGCAATGCAAAGCTGACAATATTGAATGTGCAGTAAATGAATTGAAAGCTTTTCTGCCTGCCCCCTTCAGGCTTGGGCCCCCCCCCAGATCTCCCATTGGCCCTCTGGGGCCTGAGGACGATGGGTGGGAAGCCACTGTAAGCCAAAAGCTACTGCTGTATTGCTGCTGCTGGGATTGGTACTGCCAGCGATGATCGGATGGCTATTAAAAGCTTCTTCCCAAGGCCCCCAAAGACTTCCCCAAGGCAAAAGGGAACCCAAGGGATCCTTGAAACCTGAAAGGGAGGGAGAGGAAGCTTTTGATTCATTTAAATGTGATCATATTAGCCCTGGATCCAGTTTAGGAGGTGTAACTTTACACAACAGCAATTCACAGGTAGGTGGGGAGTGCAGGAGTCACATGCGAGGACATACCTGTCGTCCCTGAAAGCTGCCAACCAAGAGGGCCTTGAAATGCCTTAAGGTAGGTTGGAGAACCTTTGCCCCTCCAGATGTTTTGGCCTGCAAATTAAGCATCCCGACACCATTGTCGCCCAGGGGTAAGGTATTGTGAGAGTGAGAGCCCAAAGCACCTGGAAGGCCAAAGGGGTCCCCAAGCTCTGCATCGAAGGATGTCAGTCTTGTAAATGTGAAAAGAAAGTCAATTGAACCGAAACCCAAAAGAACTTGGTAGCAATTGTCTGTATCTTATTTTCCACCTGAAAGTTCGGAAGTGGGGAGTATACACTGATTTCTTTTCTCACATGCTTTTTAATTGCACAGCCACAGCTGTTTTCTTGATGAACATATTGAGTAAATTAAGTGAACCCACTTCTACAACACTTCTCCATACATTCGGGTGAAGGCAGTGCTGCTGTCACATGGGAGAAGGAGAATTCTTTATAGGCATTTTAATGACAGCTGCCACGTTAGTGAGAACTTTGTTTTGCAGGAAATTGTTCATATTGCACAAAACAGGCTTTTTGGGGATCAAAATTTCTATTTTCGCATAAAACTGCATAAGATGCAAATTGTGCAAATTGCTCAGTATGAGAACAATTGCTGCTTTGTTTAAGAATTTGAAGCACCAGATGGGTTGCTTACATCTTTGTAAACAATGGGCTAGTGCTTCTCTGTGCAGTCTGTATATGTGCATAGCTTCTCAAAGGTAGAGGAAGCTATAAACATTTTATGCAAACTACAGGAATTTTGAGGAGGGGAGAGAGTTTTTGGCTCACTCTGATCTGGACGTGAGGCATCTCAAAGGACTTTCAAATTTCTCATTGAAGTGTCTTCTACTGAAACAGCTAAGATGGATGGAAAGATGAATTTAGTGAGTTTTCTTCCCATCTCGTGTCCTGGTATGGGATGAGAAATTATATTGATCCAGTCAGTCTAAATGGTTGGAAGAGCTTTCTGTAGGGAATTGATGACACCATGGGGCTGTCAAAAGCATCTTTTTTCACAGAGTGTCCCAGGTTTCCTTAATGCTCAATATGGTGAGGGGAAAATTAATAACCTGACCTGGCATTTGAACCTAGGAATTTGGTATAATTATAATGAATATGTATTGACCAGAGGATGCTCTGGTGCTTCCGCCTTTGTAGTGGAATTTTACAGTGCCCTTTGTTATTGCATGCTAAATCTTTTGGCTTTAACTGTAGGACAGTGGTATTGGTTAATGATGCAGGACATGCTATTATGTCCCCTTCAGTGAGATAATGAATGCACTCTGGCTGGTCATGTATGTATAGCACTTCAGTAAATTAGACAGGCAACTTGTTATTTTTAGATTAAAAGGAAACACAAAGATATTTTAAGGTGTATAAAGGAGGACACGAGTTACTGTGAGCCATAGTTCTCTATTTTTAAAAAGGCTGTCAAAATATACTTACAATAGCTCTCAGTATATTACATAACTACATGAAAATTCAGCATCATTGGCCTACAATTAAACCCCAAATCCAAGAACCTTCTGGAGTGACTGAAGCAGATCCACCATCCATGGTGATTGGACAAAATGCCAGAACTTGCTACTGCCGATGTTGATCTCTCTCTCTCTCTCCTCTCTCTTCCTCACACACTTTCTCTTTCTCAGTGTGATTACACACAAACATACACACATTCAGTACACACGTTTCTGTTGTATATGGCTTAAAACTCCGAAGATAAGCATATGGCAAGGTCCCCTACAACTGCCATCTGAATTTCTCCAGAATGCCTCTGGGACTTAATTAATCAGCTGTGTGTGTGCATCTGAATTTCTCCAGAATGCCTCTGGGACTTAGAATTAATCAGCTGCGAGTGTGCGTTCTCCATGGGCCATGTGTGGGCTGCAACCCTTCCCGTCCGTATTCCTCCTGCATCCTGGCACCCCCTTTAAAAATGATGGCACCTAAAATGGCCCATAGCACCCACTAAAGCAGTGGTTCCCAATCTTGGGCAACCAAGGTGTTCTTGTACTGCAACTCCCTGAAACTACGGGCAGCACAGCTGCTGGTGAAGGCTTCTAGGAGTTGCAGTCCAATAACACCTGGGTTGCCCAAAGGTTGGGAAGCACTTTACGCCATTTCACCAAGCCATGCACACGTTTTCGAAACCGGAGCAACATGTCAGTTCTTTCCTGTCCTGAAAGGGAGTGGGGAGCTGGTCTTTAATATCCAGGCACATTTCTTAGAGTTCAGTTTCTTATAGCCTCATCTCCTTTTCAAAATTTCTAAAATTTGGGGAGAGGTTGGGAGGTAGAGAGAGTGCTTGGAGGGTGGATGCAGCCTTCCAAGGCCCCATGGAGAGCAAATGCAAATATATATAGTTTGCATTGCAGATACAGTATTATGAAAGCCAGGCACTGCCATCATCTTAATTTCCTCCAACACATTTTAGGATATCAAGAGGGGGCTTCTGGTCATCTTATATGTTATGTTTCGTCATGGTTCTGGGATGTGTGCTACCATGCATCTCCACTGCTGTCCGCTGGGGTGCAGTTGCTTATCCCCTGGTAAATTTGCACAGAGTGAGGGAACCAGAGCGACACCGGGATCCTCCAGGGCGGTGCTGGCTTGGCAATTTGCAACTTGACCAGAGATCCCTCTCACCTGGCATGAGCCCTGTCCCAGAGAACCTCTTCACATATTACATGGGAGTTATGGTTGACTCTGCAGATTACTCCTGGAGCTTATGAGCCTGCTATGATGAGTGCAAATGCAGTCCTATTGTTTCAAAAGTTGCATAAAGCTCAAAGAGTTGTCTTCAGCAGCTAACTTACCCAGAACATGAGAGGTCATTAGACTGCTGCCACCTCTTTGTTTCATATATGCCCAGAGCTCCTAGAAATGAAAGTCAGTCCAGGCCAAGATTGAGCAAATACACTTAAAATAACATCAACTGACCCCTGACAAGGTATTGGCTTTTTCTGGAAGGTGGACCAGATGTACTCATCCAAAGTGATGCTTATACTCCCAACCTTCTGGAGGATTGCTAACTACTCACGGGAGCTCAACAAAGCTCTCTTAAACTAAACTTGGATGATTATTTGCATTATGAATTAACAGATGCATTTTGTTTCCTCAACAGAATGCCATCCTGTCCGTTAAAGAGCTTTGTGGACTCCCACCAATTACAAGTTTGAAGCAGTGCATTTTGTCTTTGTCCTCACGACTCGTCAACAGTGACAATGTTCCCTCGGTGGCTCTCTGCATGAAAGACAATTTTCCTTACCTTGAACCACTGGGGACTTTAACTGATGTTCAGAAAAAGGTTCTAGCTGCGTATGACCAGGTATGTATGTATGTATGTATGTATGTATGTATGTATGTATGTATGTATGTATGTATGTATGTATGTATGTATGTGATGTATGTATGTATGTATGTATGTATTTGGTTGCTTGCTTGCTTGCTTGCTTGCTTGCTTGCTTGCTTGCTTGCTTGCTGCATTTGTCCCCTGTCTTTCTTCTAGTGAGCTTAAGGCACCGTACATCCACATGACAGTTCTGTGAAGTACAGTAGGTCAGGCTAAGAGAATGTGACTGGCCTAAAGATGCCCAGTTGGGTTCATGGCCAAGTTGGAATCTGAATTCCTGTGAGTTCAACGTTTTAACCACTGAACCATATTGAGGAAAGGTTGGTTTTTTGTTTGTTTGTTTATTTCTTGGTTGGCACTGAGAGAAGTACAGTGGTGCTTCACTAGATGATGATAATCCGTTCCACTGAAATTGCTGTTTAGCAAAATCATTGTCTAGTGAAAAGCATTTCCCTATTGGAATGCATTGAAACCTGTTTAATGCATTCCAATGGGGAAGAATCGTCGTTGTCTAGCGAAGATCGACCATAGGAAAGCTGTTTTGCGAACCGCCGATCAGCTCTTTAAATCGCTGTCTTGCGAAGCTTAGGTCCCGAAAACACCTGTTTTGTGAGCACAGAGGGAGCTGTCAAAATCATCCTCTAGCGAAAATCGGTTTGTGAAGCAGGGACGAAACATTGTCCAGCGAAATTCCCCCATAGGAATCACTGTTTTGTGAATCATTATAGCGATTGAAAAAAGTCAATGTCTAGTGAAAAAACTGTCATGCGGGGTAACTGTCTAGCGAGGCACCACTGTATTAGAATTATGAACAAGCAGCACCACTGATGTTATTCAGATCGGCTCTTCTCTGTGTGTCCCTAGAGTTCTGAAAGAGAAGGAACTGTCACACTTGGGCACAGTGTCAGCAGCACCTGACCTTTCATCATCTTCCTTACTGTAGAAGCATCTGCATTCCCTACATACCATCCTCTCAACAACTATTTTTATAGCACACAAAATGGATCTAATGTTTTCTACTGAATAGATTTTACCACTCCTAGAACGTTCAGAGCTTGAAACGAGTGAGTTACAGGCAACACATTAAAAGAAAGTAACGGGTTCCTCTTGGAATGAATGAGTACAGATTCTAGAACGATAAGGACCACAGAAATTCCCTCCCTGCCGAGAAAATGACCTCTGTTTCCTTCTTTCATCCTCTGTTCTTTCCTGGAACCCAAACTAGGGCTTGGGAAGAAGGATGGGAGGACCTGGATGTGTTTAATCTGAAGACAAGAGCAGGGAACAAAATAGGGTTCTTCAGATATCAAAAAGAATGTTGCACTGAAAACGAAGCATTCCCCCCCCCCATTTTTCAGGAAGGCAGGACTGGAATCAGTTACTAGAAACTGCACAAAAACAAATCTTGTCTAAACTTTAAGGGATAGTTCTTGACATCAGGAGGAAAGCAGTCTTCATTGGAAACAGCTGGTTAACAGCTAATGTCTGTCTGACAGGGATGCTGTAGTTACGTCTTCCATGCCAGCTTAAATAATTCCCATGCTACAAGTCTGCATGTTGGTTAGAGAATAGTGTCAGGGACCATTAGAAGCAAAGTAAGTGAGGAAGCAATCAGGCGAATATGACATTTATCCATGAATTGGGCCCTGTAAATAAATATTTATCAATCAATTATCCATAAATAAGTATTTATCCATGAATTGCACCCTATATTGCACTGACGAGGAATGAAGTTAGCCCAGGTTTCGGAGGGTCACATCTTCATTATTCTTGATATATGATGTAGCAATGCACCCTGATATTTGGGCTACATATTTAGTAAGATGGTAGTGTTGTTAGGAGAAGAGAACGACAGAGGACGAGATGGTTGGACAGTGTCATCGAAGCTGCCAACATGAATTTGACCCAACTCCGGGAGGCTGTGGAAGACAGGAGGGCCTGGCATGCTCTGGTCCATGGGGTCACAAAGAGTCGGACACGACTAAATGACTAAACAACAACAACAACAACAACAATTATTGTTGCTGTGATTAACACTTGTTTAGCTGTTAAATGAAGTATGAAGAATGATTCTTTCATCCCTAATTGTGTGCTGGCTCACACCCACTCTATAAGCAGATAAGCAAGTATTTTAATAAACCTCCCACTGACACCTATGGGCCTTATTAAAATTTTGCTGACTGCTGCATAAATTGGGGAAGGGGTTCCAGGAGAAAGGCAGATAAGAAGAAGAGCATTAAGTCTTTCATCCCCATAAAATATGATCCCTATTCATGCTTCCTTTTAAGTGAAATAAGCTCATGTTAAGCAGCAGGACATGTATTAAGTGTAACATGTAGTTTGATCTTTCTTACATTTTCCATCTTGCTTCCAACATTACATCCTTATTTATTTTATCTCTGAGTATTAAAACAGACATCTGTTCCCCATATCTTGAAATATTAAATGACATTCAGGAAATGCATCTGTCGTGAAAGAATATAATTGGCCAAGTTCCATGTTGGTCGTTGGTTTCACAAGAAATGATTTGCTTAAAGCATTTTTGGTTCGTTTTGTGCTGGCTTAATTCTTTCAGACTTCACCTCACTTTCATACTGTTTGGTGGAACAGTGCACAGGTTCTTAAGTCAGTGATATAACAGTGACCTTTTCAGTAGTTTCTAAAGATAAATCTGGGTAATTGTATTTGGCATGGCATGGGCAGGTGAGTTTATAAAGAACATCATTTCAAATTTCCCTTCAGAATCCAGATCTGAAAATAAAGACATTCTTTTATATTCATGTGCTTTGATGAACTATCTAGCGTTATATATATATATTCGCAGGTATGAACTCATAAAAAGCTAGATAATAGGTATATTTAATAGCTGAACAAGTGTTAACACACACACATGCATATATATATGCATGTGTGATTGTGTGTTTGTGTGTATACACACACACACACGTGTGTGTGTGTGTGTGTGTGTGTGTTTGTATATGA